ACATTCACTAAGCACAAGGACGGCATCACAAAGCGTTTTAGGCACAAAAATCCGATGAAAGGATAGTCATGTATTAGAATGGACTAAAGAAAGTCAAGACTTAACATCTTTTTAACTACCATAGATTCACAGTTGGGATTTAAGTCTCGACTTTCTTTAGTCCATTCTAATACATGACTATCCTTTCATCGGATTTTTGTGCCTAAAACGATTTGTGATGCTGTCCTTGTGCTTAGTGAATGTACTGAATATAATTTTAATTGAAGACTAGATGCAGTGCAGAATTGAAGGAAATCGTGATTATTATTATTTTTTAATTCCCAAGCGAACCACTGCTGAACAGGGTAGAGCTACTGACATCAATTCTCCTAATTTACATCACATCCTTGGTCAAGTCACTAGAAACGAGTACAGCAGTAACCCCTTTTAATAGAGTTAGTTTCTAAGCGTTTGTGCAGACACGTGCACATTTACGGCCTGGTGCAGGTCATTTTTTTTTTTCCAGGGGTCTGGCAGTGCTCCTCCTGTTCTTCAATGCACCAGAACAGAGGTAGCAGTCCTGTTGCTGGGTTGTTCCCCTCCTAAAGCCTCCTCCATGTCTCCTGGTGTACTGGCCTGTGTCCAAGTAGCACTTCTGGACACTACCTTGACAGACGCGGCAAACCTTGCCACAGCTCATATTGATGTGCCATGCTTGATGAGCTGCAGTACCTGAGCCACTTGTATGGATTTCGGAGTTCATCTCACCACCAACACGTGTCTTCAGAACATCGGCCAGAAAGCATAAGACCGAAAAGTTGTCTGTGGTCCCCACCTGTAGAACCATTCCTTTGCCCACCTGTTATCTATTCCATTTGTACAACAGCATGTGAAATTTATTGTTAATCAGTTTCCTAAGTGGACAGTTTGTGTATGTGTGTGTACCTGACTAGCCTCAGAGTGAGGACCATTTTTCCAATTTAACCATCAAATTGAGAACTAGTTGTTGCAAAGTGAGGACATTTTGCCGGTCCTCACATGCTACTTTGCTAATGGTTAGGTTTAGGGCTAAGGTGTCAATTGGTTACGGTGAGTGGGCATTGGTAATGGTTAGTTTTAGGGTTGGGGCATAGAAAGGCTTGAAAATGACTGAAAATCAATTGGAGTAAACACATGGTCCTCACTACAATGGTAGAACGAGTTTGTGTGTGGATTATTATTAGTCCTGTGTATTATTTGTTAGCCAGATTAGATGGGGTGGATGGCCTTCCTTCATATGGTGTATATACGTTGTGTGTGTGTGTGTGTATAGATGCCGTCTAATGAGGACAGCCTTTGTCTGTACAAAAAGCACAGGATAATGATACATCCTTGTAATGGCCCTGCCTACTGGTGGTGGTCAGAGGACCAGGTGGCCTCTGTGTGCAGCAGCCTTGCTTCTGTCAGTGTGTCCCAGGGTAGCTGTGGCTAAAATGTAGCCCAGTGCGGATGTGACTGACTGACCATACTTTGAAGAGCTTTGGAGTCACCCCACTGATAAAGGTGCCATATAAATACATCTCAGTTATTCAGTTTATCAGCAATAAACGTTTATTTAAAGGGTAAGTATTTTTTCAAGGATTGAAATGGTTAATTTCATAACCACCTGAATGAGATCAGGGCATTGCATCTGATGCTATTAAGCTAAATTTTTATTTATTTTTTTTAGGTCTAGAGGAAATGACCACCACTCTGAGATGTGTGAAGTTGGGTCAGGCAGGAGACTACGCACACCCTGGCCTTCATATTTGGACTGGTCATTTTAGTGCAATCTATTTTCACTGCTGTACTTAAAGAATATATCTTGTCTTCAATTTTGTATTTTTTTAAACTACTTTAATAAAAGATTTTATTTAAATCAGTTACTCACTGCATGCTGCCAACTGATATTTTTTTTATTCAGTGATATATGAAACAATTTTTCTCTTGCTGTGGTCATTCTAAGATAATTCAATTATTGATCCTGTTGAGGTTCTACAACTAAGACTATCTAATGTAAAAAGAGTATTCGCTGGGTTCAAGCTGGTAACAAAGAGATCTGTCCCTAAAAGGTACAGTTCTGCCTCGCCAAGGGCGAAAGGTTTATCCCTTCTATCCTACGCCTCCTAGTCTCTTTTTGTCGATAATTTAGTTTGTAAATCTGCTAACAAAATGTTGTCTGACTTCTTATGGAAAAAAACAAAACATATGCACTAATCTGTCATCTAAAACTGTGATAAAGCTGGAGGCCTATATTTTACTGTTTTGACTAATTTAATAATTCCTTTTAAATAAAATGGATAAAAAAAACAACTTCTCAGAGATGTTTCATTTGGAACAATTCCAATATATTATACATAACCAGGTTAATATTATTGCAGATATGGTTCAACTATGGTATTGTCCAAGTTTATCAACTATTATTAACAGAGGTCATCCTTGTAGCTTTGAAGAATTTCTCATTCGGTACAAGGTTCCCGTCACCCCAATAGCATACAGCATTGTATTTGATGCTATTCCATCTGGTTTACTCTTGTTTAAAAGCATTGACCTCTCTTCTATCTAGTCTCCGAGTCCTCCTGACCTCAAACACTCTGCTGTTGGTAAGCTCTGCTTTTCAACTCAAATAAAAATGTTAACTCCAACATTCACACTATGTTTCACGAAAATCTAGTATCTTCCCCATCCTGTGTTTCTTTCTGGAACAAATATGTACAAAATCTTAATTGGGAAATCTGGTCTCTTCCAGATAGATTTTCTTACTAATAAAATCAAAGAAGTCTCTTTCAATTGAATTCATACATTTTATCCAACCAAACATTTTCTTCAGAAATGCAAAGCAGTTCATATTTCCTGCTCCTATCCAGAAACTTCCTTTCATCTGTTTTGGAAATGTGCAAGCTCCCAGAGCTTTTGGAAGGACATTCCCACTCTAATATTCCACCAGGTTTCCCTCTCTATTTTGAAAATGTTTTTTTTTTTGGTGTCACAGATTCCAAAACAAAAGACCCTTCTGCTGCATTCCTTATTAACCTGATTTTGTTTATTGCAGCAACTTCAGGAAACAAAAACAGCTGTCTGACTCTCTGGTTATAAAAAGAATCCACTGAGATCAAAACGGTGCTGAAGTGTGAACTTTATTATCGAAAAAAGAATAAACGACATACTATAATGTATTCAAAATATAACTGGACAAACGTAAATCAAAGTGAATTGTATAGCTGTCAACAAATAATACAGTACATATACAGCCATACACTCACAGTGGTGCCACCCCATACAATACCCTGTCCACCCCACTCACCAGTCTCTTCCTGATTTGTGCAATTTGTGGTTAAGTGTGTTTACCATTTAAGAGGTGATCTTAACTGGACACCATCTGCCTTCGCCCACATGCCTGTAGATGCTGAGGTCTTTTCCTCAGAGTAAAGGTTCTTGCTGAGGATAGGTCTTTCCTCACTCATTATTCATCCTTATTTTCAGGTATGTTGTTGCTGTTAAACATTGTTAGCATGATTGTAGTAATCCACTAACATGTAGAAGCGATGTTAAATGTTTTTTTGGGATATTTTAAGTAGTTCAGAACAATGTTTTACCGAGTGTAGTAAGGTGCTCCCTGCTAAAATGCAACGACCAACTCATAGTTGTAGTGTGTGTCGCCTTTTTGTTTCAACTGCAACAATACATGGATGCACGTGGTGGTATATTTTTTCCACTCATTTCAGAGGTTTCACGCACTTTGATTTTGTAAGTATCATTACATTACTATTTTGTGTTGACAGAAGAATAAGGTTGATTTTCTAATGTGTGAGGAAAGGGTTATGTGTTTATGGACAAAAGCTATTTTTTGGCTGTTTAAGGTTTCAATGTTAATCTCAGAGGATTTGTTGCTTGTTGTAGGGATTATACCTCAGGTGAATGCTATATTATTGAAATATGTGCACGCTCTATACCCGCCATTTTTTACTGTAAATTTTTATTAACTGTTTATTGTTGTAAAAAAGTTTATGATTTAAGTTCTCGCTGAGGAATCAACTCTTTTCACTCTTATTATACCTCCCCATTTTTAGGGGAGTAGTATTTGCACACTGTAGCCTGCTTGCCCCTGTCTTCCTCCCCCTCCTTTCAGCTCTTGCGTGCTCAAACAACTACAGCTCAGCTCATGCCTGCTTTCAACAGAGAAAAAGTGAATCAAGAAAAGCAATTACTGTTTAACCGAAAATGTTAACTAGGCTGTATCTACACATATAACATCAGGGGTCTTCAGCGTTTTTCCAGGTCAAGGACCCCCAAACTGATGGCAAGATGGAGTGGGGACCCCCTAATTATATATATTGTATGAAATTTTTTTTATATCAAACTGGTCCTATAGTCACTCTATTACAGATTGAGTCATGTAAGGAAAGTAATTTCCCCCTGGGATTATTAAAGTATTTCTTAATCTGATTCCTCTGATGATGGGACAGGTGTTGTGAAGGAAACGGTGCCCAGCTTGAAAGAGCTCCTGTGTTTCGCTGCATGTGTGCATTGATGACTGATAGACATCTTCTGCCTCCATTTATCCGTTTACTACAGTGTGTTAAATTCATGTTAAATAAATTTAATTAGTGGAAAAAATTGCAGGGGGGAATATAAAAAAAAAAAAAAAAAAGTCTAAACAACCAAAACTTTCGCAACCCCCATGCAGTACCTCCGTGGACCCCCTAGGAGTTGTGGACCCCCTGTTGAAGACCTCCATAGTAGATCTTTAGCAACTTTAATAATAAAAAATTACACACAATAAACCAAGATATGAATGTTTACTTAAAGGAATAGTACACCCAAAACATGATTAGCCTTCATTTTCTACTCACCCCCATGCTGAACAACACTCTGGAGTACTTTTTTGATATCTCAAATGCATCTGGAGATCTGGGAGGCTTCTTGCTGTCTGCTGACATTCAAATGCCGGCTTCCGGCATTTGAATGTCAGCCGGCTTCCGTAGACTTCCGTAGAATGTCTGCCGGCTTCCGTAGACTCGTGAGCGCGCATGTGCGCGCTTTCAGGAAATCCTATACACTACTGTTTAAGCTCTAAAAACCTTCTAAATGACTTCGTTTCGAGTAAATTCTGGATGCTACCCACTCAGGACACTTGGAATACATTGGACGAGCAGTATGGAGGAATATTGACACGTTTTTGTGGACTTTTATGGACCTTTCTGTCTCGGGCGCCATAGACCTCCATTATTTGAATGTCAGCAGACAGCAAGAAGCCTCCCAGATCTCCAGATGCATTTGAGATATCAAAAAAGTACTCCCGAGTGTTGTTCAGCATGGGGGTGAGTAGAAAATGAAGGCTAATCATGTTTTGGGTGTACTATTCCTTTAAGTCTTTATTATAGTTCTACAAGCAGGTTTACCACAATAGTAGATTCAAACTCTGAAATTAGGGCTTTTGGTTTCAGTATGCCACCCCACGATTTCTAGTGGCCCCATCTGGCCACCCCATAAAACATTTCTGAAACATTCACCCACTATCTGGAGTGACACTCCAACAGGTGAGTAAAATGCCCAATTCGAAATCTCTGCCCACATCTAGTTAACCTATTTCCCTGCAAACAAATAAAAACAAAACCGTAACAGGTATAAACCCAGACAAACATCAAAGTATCTTTTCATTTATGGTTCCTACATTGTTTCTTGGCAAGTTTCATATCCACCACAGTAAAGTAATGCACAAGAGCCCTTTTTAACCTCTTAATAATGGATGTTAAACTGTATCTTGACCTAATATCTGACTTGTATAACAAAAAGGCCATGAAAACAGATTTGCAGTGAACAATTCATTTGTGTAACTTGCATGTTTTTTTCCAATTTCATTTCATTTTTATGGATGTCATTGTATATTTAGTGGTATATTTTACCCTTGTCTTTTATGTTCCTTGTGGTGTTTTTTTTGTTGTTGTTGTTTTTTTGTCTTGTAATTTTTTCTGTTTAAAAATGTATCCTCTATTCTATTTTCTATAGACGGGGATTAAGTTAACAGATTTTTAAATATTATTTCAGTTTGATATGGGAAAAAAGTCAGAATTCAGACTTTTTTTTTTGAATTCTGACTTTTCTCTCAGAATTCTGACTTAAAAGTCAGACTTAAAAGTCAGAATTCTGACATTTTTTCCCCTCAGAATTCTGACTTTAAGCTCAGAATTTTGGACCTTAATGTAGATGGACACCATGAAGGAAGAGATGTGGGAGTAACTGACAAAGTTGTGAGTTGTTTGAGTCAGAATTCTGAGATAAAAGTCAGAATTTTTAGACAAAAAGTCAGAATGTTTAGATTATTGTACTAATTATTATACTGAAATAAAATTTAAAAATCAGTTAACTTTTTTTATTTTTTCAGTGGCCCGAATCCTCTTCCATAATTTTCAAATTTCTAAATAAAGAAAGAAAAGTAGTTGTTTTATTGGAAGATACTGAAATGCACGTGTCGGCCAAGAGTTCACCTGATTGGTTGCTCTGCTTGTTCTTAATCAGAGCAGTCTGTGCTCAACCTGTTGCTTTCTTTGAACCTCCTGGAAAATAAAAACAAAACCTCGGTGGTCTGGAACTCATAACCCGGTTGGAGAGAGAATAAATGGCACCGAGCAGGCGTCATGGAGCCAAAAAGCAACAGCCCCTTCCAACCCTTGAGAGAAATGGGTCTTGCAGAGTCGATCAGAAAGATTCTGGATCTAAACTCCCCTGAGGAGGACGAAGCGCGTCAGTCCCAGTCTGAACATTTCAGGCGGGGTTTAATGTCGTTAAGCGTGAATGAACTCGTGGACAGGGAGTCCTCTCCTGCTGCTCGGAATCCACAGGTCGCACCGGAATCAGCCGGCACCGATTCCTTTCAGACACCGACGATGAATCGCGTCAGGCGGCGCCCCAAGGACCGAAAGAAGACTGCGTCTCGTCGCGGGGCTCCAGCTCCACAGCCGCCTGCAGAGCGCCATCCTCCTCCTCCTCCAGCGCGCATGTTCTGCAGCTTCTGCAAACATAACGGTGAATCCTTGCTGATTTACGGATCCCACTGGCTGAAGAACCAGGCAGGGGAGGTTGTGTGTCCCTACCTGAGGCAGTATGTGTGTCCTCAGTGTGGCGCCACGGGGGCCAAAGCCCACACCAGGAGGTTCTGTCCTAAAGTGGACCCTTTTTACACGTCTGTCTACACTAAGACCAGACGCTAATTCATTTATTTCTTTTAATAATCCAGCATGTTTTTTTACTTTTGTGTGTTGCTTGCTGTGTCTGTTTTTTTTTTTTTTTTGCATGTTTTCTGCTTGAAGTGATTTTCGTTCTAAAGCATTTTTAAGATAATGCTGTTTGTTTGTATAAATATTTTTTTGTAATGGCATGAATAATGACTGCAAGATGTTTTTTGGGGGGAGAGGGAGGAAAAGGAAATGTTGCAGTTTTGGAGCACAGCCAGCAAATGTCCAGGTTCACACATCTATATGCATGGAAAGACTTTACATGATAATTTTGGGGGATTGTAGTTGTATCAATACCTTTTCCACAATGTGACCATGGCAGTATATTTCAAGATTTTAATGACTGACCTTTTGTTTTGATTCTTGAAGCAGCAGTGATGCCAGCAATGCGTTACTTTATTGTACCTACTTTTTTAATATATATAAAAAAAAAAACTTACTTGCAAACTAGTAATCGGATTAAAATTCCTTGTTCAATTCATTCTACGTTACTTTTTTTTTTATTTTACTTTCGGGAAGAAAAAAAAAAAGAAAGCTGTTTGCTTCTGAGAGTGACATTCCATTACCTACATCTCACACGCAAAGACACAACTGGTGACCCGTCATTAACAATACAGGGAGACGAAAGTGTGCGTTTTTCAGCTGGACATATTGTGATTACTTTGAGTTTGTGTTGTTCTTAAAATAAGGTTTGTTGTACTCTCTGTGCAGGTGATTAAGTGTTATTCCGCTTCAACTAGAGGTCAAACTTAAAGACACATTTGACTTCACAGCACAGTGCAGTCAAACTAACAGAGGTGGTCTCATCAGGTGGTTCAAAGCAAAGAGCTGTGACTGCAGGAGGGCCCTTGTCAGCCAAACAACAAAAGCTGGACTTTGGTGCCAAAGAAGTAAGTGGTGGAAGGTTGAAGTTGGTTGGGCAGTGTGGTGTTGAAGAATAGCTAATTGATCTTCCACACATTCCATCTTCCACACTTAAACCTCATTTCAATATGAAAAACTCAC